CGCGACGCGTTCGCTCGTCCCGATTGAAAAGGTTCCGCGAACTCGCGGCACGTAATATATTATATTATTTCACGTTACTGCGCCGTTGCTTCTCCCTTTTCAAAGGACTGACGTAAATTGTGTTCCACATTGTTACTGCGTTACTGTTATTGCGTTATACATTTTCGAACAGATTCCATTGGCGAGCAAACGCGTGTCTGACCTGTTCAGTGTCTTTTTCCATTCCTGGCACGCGCTCAGAAACCAATTAGGGAACGTATAAGTATTACCGGGAGATTCGATGCTTGAAATGAATGGAATGTCGGCGACTTGTTTCAATTTCTGTTTTCGACTATCTGTTTTAATGATTCCCGTCTGGCTGAAATGATATGTCGATCGTGCTGAGAATGACAGAATATTATTATGAAAAGTATATAGTTGTATAATATATCTAATCATCGTGCGAATCTTAGGTCTTCGGGCTTACGCAGAAATTGAGGATTTTCGAAGGACCTGTGAATTCACGGAAGTTTGAAAAATTTCAGGGGAAACTGTAGTTTTACGGGACCGACAGGATTTAATAGTTTCAAGAACCTCAGGAGTTAAAAGACTCTTGGCTATCCTGGAGGTTAAAGAAGTTTCGAGGATGTCGAGGGTCAGAGAAGTCTCAACGATCCGTAGGGTCGAAGGAGTCTCTGGAGTCCTACGTGTCGGATAAAATGAGAAACAAATATTTGAATCCTATGTATATACACATTTATATATTTAACAGGCGTTCGTATTTTCTATGTATATACAAGACATAAAAATCGACATGAAAATTGATGAAATACTAACGAACAGATTAAGAAATATACGACAATACTACTAGTCGTTTACTGGTAAATATCTATGCATCGCAGAATCTGACAAATACACCGCTGTCAGTAACGTCTTCTAGATATCCACTGTAACATGCATTCCGCTTTAATCGTCAAATGTGTCCCGAGTTGGCAGAGTCCGATGTTATCTGTGTAGAGTTTCAAAGGTCTCGTGTTCTCAGTAGTCCTGTCCAAATATCTGATGTTGCCTGGATCAAGTTCCAAGCTTCTGACATTGCTTCTATTGGTTTCGAGGTACCTCACGTTGATTAAGTGAATTTTTAAGCTCTGAAGTTGTGTCTCTTGGAATATAAATATCCACTGGTATGCTACCGACATCAAGTTGCAGATTCAATGTTATCAATAATTACCAGATCCTAACTGCTCGAGAACGTTCGTATCAAATCGCAAGGAACTGATAAGGTCTCTAATTTTAATCAGTTCAGCGTGGTCTGTATTAACCCTTTGCACTCGAGAGGCTTACAGTCGCCATTTAATTTGAAGGAGCAACATTACAAAGTTTGACGTATAATATTAAAATTCATTTAACGTAATTATCCATGAAACGTTAAAATAGAATAGTTCTATCCCTTGATTTCTATATTGTTTAAATTAATGTTAGCTATAAAAGCTGTCATTGATATTTCATTAGAGAATGAAGAATATTTCTAGCGAAATAATGTTTTAGTGCAAAGGGTTAAATTTACGTTGCTTGTCCCGAGTTTAAAATCACAGAGATCTCTCGAAGATTTTCACATTACCGTTAATAAGTCCTACGACCTCAACGTTCATCCTAACGACAGAAAGTACATCGAATTGAATTCTCATTGTTTTATATTCCACCCACCGAGTCAATTGATTAACACGATCGAAATGATTTCGAATGCCGCGAGTTTGCAGTACCTTCGGTGCGAATCGAGGCGATACAGATAATAAGAGCACACGTGCGCGCGCCACTCCCGCCGGAATATTCGACGCATGCGGCGTTTAAATATTTACACTGGCATAATTACGTATTTCAGCGGCTCGGCACCACATAATTGTACCGAATGTAGCCAATATTAATATTGAACGTTCACCGGCCCCGTTGACGGAAACGTGTTTAATATGTTTACGCGCCCGATAGCACGATGTTTCCCCGTTAACATTCGTTTTTCGCCAGCCCGAAGATTCGATTACGGTTATGCGATTAAAACTGGTTAAAAAGCACCGGAATCATTACGCACCGCGTCGGACGTAACGTTCCGACGATCCCGTTGATCATTTAATCGGTTCGAGCCAAAACCATTTCCGCGGCTGGATATCGCGCCGTTACATACCCACGAGACAAATTTGCTTTTAATCAACAAACCGCCTCCTCGCTCCGACCATCGGCGTTTCCTTGGAATTATTCTAGAATATAGGATTACGCCGGGATGAAAACGAACAAATGCGGGCCGAGGACCGAGTACGCATCGGTACACGTGCAGGGGAAAAAATCGGAGAGCGTACTAGAGCTTGAATTTCCCCGCAATTTTCCCGGCCGAGGGGCCTCCGCCTGTAAATTTTTTTCCGACGATTTATCCGACCAACTCGTTCCCTTTTTCGACTTACGCTTTCCAACTTCGATGTACGCGCGCCCAAGAAATTTGTATCGGTTAATGCTACGGTGAAAATACCGGTATTACGGTAACACAATAGTTCGTTTCTCATCGCGCATATTTCCGTTGCTCGTGTTCTTCCTCTCGCAAATATCTTTTTT